GTTGGAGGCAGAAGCAGGAGGGCTCAGGTCCAGGGGAAACTGGAGTTGCAGTCTTGAGAGGAAGGTGCCCTTTCTCAGCAAATTCCTGGCTAGCTTTCCAACAGGAGAAATTAACCTCCAGGTCCATTTCTTAAGAAACTGCTGTTTCTCTCCTACCTGGGTGAGGCCTGGGCAAGCCTGAGTTCTATTAGAGGGAAGACCCTTTGGGGGACACCAAGTCAGTCCTAGAGGGCCCGCCACTGTCCTGGAGCCCTGTTCCCTAGTTTCAGGCATCATCAGAACTTCCAGGCTCTCCAAGAAGCATCCCAGACAGACTCCCTTCATCTGCAGTGGACCAGAGAGAGCACACACATAAAGCCACTCTGAAGTACAGACACACAACCCCAACACTGGCACAGCACCCCACATGAACCAGAAACCCACATGTGGCATCACAGGTCCTCTGGACACAAGTACATGGACCCATACCCAGCAGACATAATGATGTGTGAATGCGTACATGCCTGACATGTGAGAAGGCACACAGATGCATGTAAACATGTGTTTGTACACAGGGACATGCTCACAAATCGGTAAAATACATTCTTGCAAGGACACACATGCTTAGATGCACATGCATGCAGTTTGCAGCGTATGTGTTCATACATTCTGTCCCTTCCCACCCTCACTCCAGTTCCAATCCAACACGCTGCACTGACTCCCGCCCACGATGGACCACCCTTTGCAAGGTAGGCACCAAATGAGGCCGATGCCATAAGCATAAGGGATGCTGTGATGATGTAGCTGTGTGTCTACATGTCCAAATGTGTCCAGTGTGAGTGTCGACGTGGCCCTGGCAGTCTGTGACATAAAACAGGGAAGAGAGCCTTTAATATTGTGTATATTTTTCCATGTGTTTGTGTATTTCTGGCAAGACCTATGTGTAGCTGTGTATACCCATTTGTGTGAATGTGAGATTGGATGATAGTGGGGGATTTGTGTATCTGTGTGACTCCCTTCTGTAGACCGTTGCTCTGAGAATGTCTGTATATGTCTATGTGTATATTTACACATATTTGCATCAGTGGTGTGGCTATGGCTTGGTGGTCCTGAATCCACAGCCTGACTGGGCTGGCTTCCCTCCTGGCAGAGGCTGTGGCCCTGGGTGGGGCCAGGCGGGACTGGACTAAATCTCCAGCCACTGACAGTCGTATTTACAGAGCTCCAAGTAGGATGTAATTGCTTCTATTAATCTTTCTCCGGTTGTTAATTGCTCACTTATCGGGTTGTGTATTATGCCGACTGTTGCTCTTAATTCGCCTCCATAGCTGCAGGTGTTTGCTGCCTTATTAACTGTTAATCGGCATGGCTAGGACTGGAGACTTAATTGGCCCCCAGAGTAGGACATAGGCAGGCCAGCCGGGCGCTGCCAGACTCTCAGCCTGTCCCCGGAACCCTTACCTGTGGAGCACAGGTGGCTAGCAGGAAGGAGTTGGCCAGCCGCCATCCCGGGAAGACAGCAGTCCTGCATACAGCGGTCAGAGTGACAACTGCAGGGTATGGCCCCCACATAATCCTACCTCTCCAGAAAGTCAACCAACCAATCAGAATCTAGCTCCCACACTCCCTTCTCCGTCACCAACAACCTTCCTCTACCCAGGACAGAATCCAACCTCATTTATTTTAATTCTCTGGAGCTAATTGAGACTAAGATACCAACACAGAGTAGAACTGCTTCTCTTCCTTGGGTACCTGCTCTGCCTCCCCTCCAGCCCATGCTCTGAAGATTGTTAAAGTTGCAGACTCACCTAGAGAGAGAAGGGCAAGGAGAAGGTGCTTCTGCCAGAGCAGGAAGATGAAGTGAGGCCCAGGAAGGGCTTTCCAGCTTTTGAAGAGGCTATTTGGAACTGGACAAGAGCAAGAACTCTCAGGAGGAGTCCTGGTGCTCCATCCCTGCCACCTCCAAGGTGTTTCCGTGTCAGCCTCTAATTACACAGCCCTGACAACAGGGCACCCAAGTCCCCCGGGCACTGCTACACGGCAGTGGGAACATACTGAGCTGATTTTGCCTCCCCCTCCCCAAGTCACAGCAGAGGAGCCCTAATTGTCCACGATGGAGACACTGAAGCCTACAAGGGGGTACTACCAGGGTCTCCCAGTCCTCTCTGGCAAAGGTTCAGAAATGTGGCTGTCCAGGGAGTTCCTGCCCTCAGCCTCCTGCTGGACCCTGCTCCATCTAGGCATCTCAGTCCTGGAGGGTAATTTCTTGGTCACCTCCTTCTTAGTTCTGGTCTTTACATGCCCCAGCCTCAGCCAGTGCTGCTGCAGCCACCTCAAGTTCCAGTGCCTCTGAGACAGAAACGCAAGGTTTCTGAAAAGACCTGAGAAAAACCTGGATAAAAGGATGTGCTCGGGGGCTGAAGTGGGGGTGTCCTGGGGGTAGGGTCCATGCTTCACCAACCTGGCCTCCAAGCTCCAACAAAGAAAAACAGGCACAGTTCTGACTCTGTGCCTCCCATCCATGTGCCCCAAGACCTGAAGTTATAGCTGGTGTTTAGTTGTCATGTCATGCTGCAAAATAAGTGAATTTGCTTTGGTTAATTCTTGAGAGAAACTGATCTGGGGAGTGGGGAGGGCTGCGTCCATTGAGTGTGAACTGTGAGCCAGAAGCAGCAATAAATATATGTAAAGTGGCATCTCACTGAACCCTCCCATAACCTGAAGAATTAGGGGTGACTATCCCTATTCACAGAGAAGGTAACCGAGCCATAGAGAGGGGAACTAAATGTACCCAAGGCCACACAGCCAAGGGAAGGTGTCTTTGGTCAGAGATACCTGGAGGAGTCATGCTCTGATCCAACAAGCCCACTAGGGAACCAATGGTCCCTATTACAGTTCACCCACCCACCCCCGAGCTGGGACTATCGATCAGCAGAACCTCACGCATGCGCAGCCCACGTGCCCAGCAGCGGGAGGAGCAGCTCCGGGAACTGTCCAGGGAGAGTTGCCCAAACAAGTTCCGGCCCAGCCTCTATGTTAATGACATGTAGATATATGTAAATTTCTACAAGCAAGCACTCAAACCTTTGGGAGCAAAGGGGTGACACGGGACGGTTGCCATGGAAACCCCAGGGCGACCCCCTCCCCTCCCACCGCGGAAGCTCACAGACACGTGTACAAAGGCCCAGGGTTCCTGGCTCCGGAACCCACAGGATCTCCGGGTCGCCCCGGCTGCCAACCTAGAGGCCCCCCGAGACTGCGTCCAGCCCGGGGGCAGCTGAGACCCGGAGAAAGTCGCGGGGAGACCAACGTCGTGGGGCGCAATCCACTAAAACCGAGGGGAGCTCCGAAGCCTTCGGGTTCCTGGAGACTCCGCCTCCGGCGATGCGAGCCCCGCCCAGCGTTGCTTAGCAACGTCCCTCCAGACTAGCAACCGCCAGTCACGCCCCCTAGCAACAGCTCGGCTAATCCACGCCGCTCGCCGCCTCTGCCAAAGAGGCCAAAAGGGGCGGTGGAGAACCGCCAGAGGTGGGTGGAGGTGGTGTCCAGCCTCGAACCTGAAAGCAGGCTGCATGATTTCGGGGTCCCTCCCTACCCTCAGAGACAAGATGACCGAAGGCCGCACACAGAGGGGAGGTTTACCGAGGAGAAAAGTGGAGCTCTGAAAGGAAGTCGCAGCCCAGAGCAGAGCGCCTGCTCTTGCCTGCGTTCCCCGGGAGGCAGCAAGCGCGCTCTGGTTTCCCAGGGAGGGAGCTTGGGCCTGGAGGCAGGGGTGCTCAGCCATGCCCCCACATCCACCCCAACTGCGTTAGGAAAACCAGCGAAGTCGCCGGGTCAAGAATGCAGCTGTAGGCTTGCAGGGTAATTTGCGTTATTTACATATAGCACGGAGCCCGTGGCACTCACAAGCCCCTTGCGGCCAGAAACATTCCCAAAAGGAGTCTCCCCTCCCCTGGTTCATCTGTCCAGTCCTCTGTCCACCTCTGCTCGGCTAAATTCCCACACCTCGTCCGGCTCCCAGCTCAGCCTCCAGCCCCGACCTCCATCCCAAGGCCGAGGGCCCCCTCTGCTGTCGGCAGCGGGTAGGGCAGCAGCAGCGCTTATGGGAGAAGACGGACTCCCCCAAACCACCAGCGGCCCACCCTTCCCAGTGCAGTAGAATCCAGGGTGCCTTCGGTCAAAGTAGACTTTGAGAAGGGGGACACAGGATACACGCAAAGGAGGGGACCTGGCTAGAAGTTCCCTCCTCCAAGCCAGGCCCTGCTTCCCTGTGCTGGGTTATTGCCACAGAGCAGCTAATTCCTGGGTCAGTCCCCTACTCAGTTCTCCTGAAGTACACCCTAAGCTGAGATGCACTTAGGAGCTCATCCTGACGTCAGGAAAAGCTGCACCATCTGCCCTAACACCAGCCTCCAACCCCACCCTGAATGCCTACCCCCAAGGTGAGGATCCTTGGCTTTCTCCAGCTCCAGTCTCTGAATGCTGGCAAGAGGCACATAAAGAAGTTCTATTATATGACACGCCCAACTTCCTCAACAGTGTTGCACACACAGACATGCAATCAGACACACACATGCTCATAGATACATGACATAGAGACCCTCACAGATGTGTGCACACGCGCACACACACAGAGAGAATTTGGAGTATACCCCACTGTCCAAAGGAATAAATCTTGGTAATTGAAAAATGTATTGCAACTTGTTCTCCTCTTTCTCCCCAACAATCTCTAGGTGTCTATAAATAAATCTCTCCCCACTTCGCCGCAAGCCCAGTACTGCCTTCTCTCCCATCACCCCCTCCTCTTAGTTTAGAATACTTGCAAAACGCTCCCAGAAGCCATCATGGCAATGGCCCTGGGCACAGGGATGGCTCAGGACCTCAGGCAAGCAACTGACAAGGTTGCTCCCTCCATCTCTTTAGCTCTGCCACCTCTGTGCCCAGAAACTCAGACACACCCACCCCAACCCACACCTGATAGGTTCAGGGTCTCTCCAGACTAGCCAGAAGCAGTCTCCAACTTCACCAAATTCTTTATTAAACCAAAATCAACACCAAGCAGACCACAGAACAGGAAACTCAAACAGCACAAACAGCACTCAACAGGTGGGGTGAGGTAATCTTTCTCTTCCTCTGCCCCTCTGTCCCTGGAACAGCTCAGGGTTCAGGACTTGTGAGGGCACTGAAACCCTCTCTTGTTGGGTAAAGAGAGTCAGGTATCTCTAGGAAGAGGACAGTCGGAGCCAGCTCCATCTGTAGGGCCCAAGAAAGAGTAAAGGTCTTGGCTGGAGGGCTCTGGAGCTGTACGGGGCTGGGAGAGGAAGCCAAGAATTCCAGGGTCTATAGGGGTCTGGGGTTGAACAGATGCTGCAGATGGTAGAGGAATGAGCTCTTGGCCTGGGGACCTCAGTGAGGCTTGGAGCTGGTGACTCAGGGCCACCAGGGACTCAAGATGCTGGAGGAGGGCTTGGTGGGGACAGAAAGCCCTGTGGAGGTGCTGGCCATGGCTTTGGGGATGGCCAGGTGATGCTCCTGAATAGGGATGCCAGGACTGACACCCGCCTTGTTTGTGGGACCACTGCCCTCTCCCAGGACCCTGCCATGTCTGAGGCTCTCCCCACAGACTCCCCCTGCCTCTGGGGGGCCTCTGCCATGTACAAATTCCCCTTGGAGCCAGGCTGCCTTTGTCCTGACCCTGCTGCAGGGCACCCTCTGGGGGAAGGGCACCCTTCAGGGTCACAGCTGGCCTCCTGGCCTCCGGCTGGTAGCATCTCATCTCCACTTTCTTGTTGAAGGAAACCGTCTTGCGAACCTTCCCCTGCAAGGAGCTGAACTCTGCTGTGCCTGGAAGCCCCGCCTTGGGGAGCAGCACAGCCAGCAACAAGCTCGAGTGAGTGACATCCAGACCTGGGGAAAAGGGGGGAGAGACCGAAGGCCTGGCAGGAGAGAACAGAGAGCCCCCCAGAAGCCACATTCTGCCTGCAGCAGGAGATTAGACTGCAAGAGCTTTCTAGCAGTAAGATGGGGGCCCATGTGATGCTGGGAAAGGCAAAGGAAGCTGAACCTGCTTGAAATAGTTGCTCTCAGTGCAGGAAAGAGTTCACAGGCATAGATGGCTTAACCTCAGGACTACAGATTCAGAGTCTAGTCCCCAGAACATAGAGGCATGGAAGGTCCAGAGCTCTGCTTGAGAATGGGTACCGACCACCACCAGAATCCCCCCAAACCCAGCCCACTCCCAGGTGCTTTCCTGGAGCCATGCACCAAGGGCGTGACCATGTGCAAAGGCCAAGCCTGGCCCGGCAGAACTGTGCTGGAAACACTCCTTCCTCTCCTCAGAGATGCTGCCAGTCAAGTGTTTGTGGGTCCTTCTCTCCTGCTACGTCTGGGTCAAATATGGCTGTCCCTAGAGTTTCCCTCAGTGTGCCTAATTGGAGAGCGAGCACAGTGTGATGGTGAGGAGGCCAGTGTCTGGGGCCTTGTGGCCTGGGTATGAAACCTGGCTCTGCAACTGTCTGGCTGTGTGACTTTGGACAAGCCACTACCTTCTTCCTGCCTCAGTTTCCTTATCGATGAAAGGAAAAAACTTACAGTACCATTCTGCGGGGTTATTTCAAGGACTACATGAATGGACACCACAAAGTAATGTATGAGTATGAGCTATGACTGTCACATTTGCCCACCTCAAGTGTTCGCTTCTGAGACAGCCTGCCTACACTGAGACACAGGTCAACTGTGTCAACAATGCCCAGTCTGGTCACTGACCGAGGGCAGGGTCAGGGGTGGGCACTGGACACTCACCTGGACCTCCAAGAGGGCGCAGTCTGCTGGGCAGGGGCTGAAAGGCAGGCAGGGGCAGCAGCACCACCCCAACCTGCTGCACAGCTGCCAGGCCATGGCACTGCTTGTTGTTGAGGTAGGAGTAGAGCAGGCGGCAGTTCTGGGTATCCCGAGGTCCCTGTGGGCACAGCCTGAGCACACACACATCCTGCAGGTACAAGAAGGGGGAAGCTTTAGAAGCTGCCATGCTTTGCTCCTGCCAACACTTGCTGGTCACATCTAAATTGCGGAGAATCATGTGAGGAAGTATCTCCCCATTTTCAAAGGAGGAAACAGTGACTTCACAGTGGGAACCAGACCCTGATATCCCACACCAGGCCTCTGCTCCAAAGGTGGAGCGAGGGGGAGCAAAGAACTGAGAGTCAGTGCTGGGAGAAAAGGTGGAGCCCAAACACAGCTGGTTACCTTGACCTGGGCTGGGCAGATGCTGGCCAGAAGCTCCCAGACAGTGTTGGAGGGGATGCAGCCTGCTGAGCGGATCACCTCCGGCAGGGCCTGCGGGCAGGGAGGATACCAGTCAGCCCCAGAGCTGTCCACCCACCTAGGGGAGACTCAGCACCAGACCCCTAGAAAGCCCTGGGATAGGCTACAGCCAAAAGGATGGGCAGACAGGACCTCAGAAATGTCAATGGCTCCTCAGGAGCCCGCACTGCCCCTGGAGGCCTATAGTATCTCCCACCCAATCTCCTATAACTCCTCAGAAGCCCATGCCCCCTCCTCTAACCTTCCACCTATATCCAACACTTTAGCTGATCATTCAGTCACTCAACAATCACTCCTAAACCCCTCCTCTGGGCTATGTAGGCACAAGCTCCTCTCTTAGGTCCTTCCTGTTTTATGTCTTGGATTATAAGAGTCCTTTACCCATGTGTGTCTCTGCAGGAGTGGGGTTGGCATTTCATTTGCCCATATGCCCCCACAGGGCCAGGCACAGAGGGGGTGCCAATGACTTGTTTTAGAACGAGTAAAAGAATAATGAGGGTTGAGTAGCTGCCTGGACTGGTCAGTGCGTGAGGGAGCCCCTGCAACAGATCAGGGATACCATTATGAGCTGACAGCTGTGTCCTGAGACCAGCTGGGCCTTGGCCCGGAACCTCTTGATGGAGAACATGTCCACAGCCCCTTCCCAGGGTGGCTGGCTAGGGAGGGCCTTGGTACGTCCAGTGAGCATCTGGAGCCTAGAGGGAGGGGCAGGGAAACAGGTAGATCGGGTCATTAGGGTGGCCCGCAGCATCTTCTCACTCCTCAGAGAAGGTTCTGTGACCCCACTTTGGTGGCTGGACCCCTGGCCCAAGCATGGTCTTGTGCAGCAGAGGTGACCAGCAGGCTGGGATCATTAGATCCACTGCACATATGGGGAAACAGAGGCACAAAGAAGTGGCAGAATTTGTGCAAAGCCACATTTAAAAAGTCTACATCACATCCACTGCCCCAGTGGGTAACCTCCCCCACCACCCTGCTGGGCTGCCCACCTCCCTGGCCCACATCCCCCACACCTGTCTGGGGGCTCTGTGGGAGGTTTCTCACTGATTTGGGGCCCTTCTGGAGTTGACACAGGGGTTGGGCTTGGGACTCTCTGGAAGATGTTGTCCCCCATCCTGCTGGTGGCTTTGAAGGCGCCTGACTGTTTACGCACCGGCTTCCAGTCTGCAAAGAGCAGGAACAGGAGCTGAAACAGGTGCGGGCGGGTAGGCTGGGGCCAGCCTGGGGCTTTGGAGCCACAGTTTGAACCTGGTTCTTTTCAAGGTGACCTGGGGCACAGGAACCCCCACCCTACCACCTTCTTCCCAGGCCATGAATCTCCATTAAAGCTGAACCCCCACGCTCAGCCCCAGCCTGCCCACCACCAGCCCCCTCCCGTGTCTCCCTCCCACCCATGCAGATGTGACAGTTGGGGTCATGCTGCTCCGTGGTTTCCTCGTGCTCCGTGGTGGGCTTTGATGGGGCAGGCAGGGCCGGCGGGCTGCAGTCCATGGACACCATGAGTCCCTGAGGCACAGGAGAGAGGGGTGCAGTAGGAGGGCAGCTGGGAACGTCAGCAGCCTTCCATGAGAAGGAAGCCTCAGGGATGCAGGGATGTGGTTATATTTGCCCAAATAATCTATTCTTTTATTACAAAACTACAATGAACTCATTAAAGAAAATTTGTAAAATATAGAAAATTTGGAAATTAAAACATACCACCCCTCGCCCCACCACTGCTGATCTTCTGGGTGTTCTTTGAGGTAGTTTTTCTGCACACAGGGCTTGGGGAGGGGGGGTTCTTTACTAAAACAGCTGGGACCGAAAGGCCACCCTTCTAGCCTCATTTCACACACGAAGCATACGCAGCAGAGGCATCTGCCATGTTTCTAACACGGTCCCTGCAGACATTCCAGTCACGTGTCCCCTCATCGTGGGGATACCCTCCGAGGAATGTGGCATCAGGCAATTTTGTTGTTGTGAGTGCGTCACAGAATGAAATCACACGAACGTGGATGGGAGGGCCTACCGACACCCAGGCTGCACATGAGGACCGCCGCGGGCGGGCCGCCCCCTGGCCCAGCTGTCGCTACGGCGCGTGACTGCACGGAAGCAGCAGGCCTATCCCCTCTGCAGCGAGAGGCCGACTGTCCTGGGCTTCCACTAGTAACCAAGACCAAGGGCATCCTCCTGGTGCTCAACCATTCTCCTAAGCTTTCAGTTATTTCCCTCTGACAAGTTCTCAGAAGCAGAATCATGGAGAATGAACATCTTTAAGATTCCTGAGGTCCACTGTCGAATCACCTTCCCCCCTTAAAATAGAAATAGCTTCAGACACAAAACAAACATTGCCTCGGGAAGATTTAAGATTTGGGCACTCCTTTCTTGCCTCCAAAGCCCGACCAGGGCAGTGGCAAGGCACAGCTTCCATCAGACAGCTGGTTCAAATCCCAGCCCCCCTCGGCCAACTGAGCCACTGTGGCCTCAGATTCCTGCCAGGAAATGGGCCTCATGTTGTGGGGTCTGAAGGAGGCAGGGTTGGCACAGGGGCACACAGTAGGTGATCAGCACAGAGTGAAGGTTTGTCGTGTGCTAAACCCCCTCCTACTCTGCCTGCCACCCCTTCTCTCGTCCTCTTTTGGGCCAGGGCTTCCTCTAGGTCTTTACAGTTCTACCTGCTGCACTCACATTCAACTCTTCCAGGGAATACAGAGGCGTGCGGGATGAGAGGATTCACTAGAGTGGGGAGCAGAATAGGCAGATCTACTGAAATACACTGCTGAGGGGAGCAGCGGGTGAGACAGGAGAGGTCTGCTGCGCCATGTGGGTTGCTCCTTGGCTGCCTGGATATCAAACTCATGCTGAAAAAACTCATGCAGATTGCTTCATAGTGCTTAACCCTTTAGGCGCCACCAGGGAGGCCTAAGAGCAGCCATTCTCCTGTTTGTTGGCCTGGACATTGGTTGTGGGGGCAGCAAGGATTTTCTCAGGGAACATGGCTCCAGGGCCCGCCCCTGCTCTCCTGGACATACAGCTGATACCCAACGTGAGCGTAGCTGAGGGGGTTCCGAGGGGTGCAGGAGACAGCCAACCTGCCCCATGTGAGCCACATGCACAGTGGAGAAACCAACTGGGAGGAAAAGGTCAGAAGGACGTGATATCCCCGGCCTCTTGGCAGATCCCCTAGTGACAAGAGGAGACCTAGACTCTGGTCAGTCCTTCCAGGTCCCAGACAATTTCCAGAAGGCCTCTGCATGCTGCCCTAGGCTCCCCCAAGCCTTTCCAGGGAATAGAACAGATCTCTGCTTCTCACATCCAAAAAAGTCACCACCTGCAATGAGGTGACTTCCCAGCCAGAGACCTGGTCAGAAAGTCCGAGGTTGGGGGAAACTGAGGTGGCAGGACTCACTGCCACTCGCACGGGGCAGCTTGGGGCAGGCTAAGAGCAGGGGAGCAGCATGGAGATGGGCCTACAGGGGGGCTGTCGTCCCAGTCGTCAACCATGCCCTGTGCCCACCCCAACCCCGTGTGGTAACCATCATGACCCACTTTACAGTGAAGAGCATGGGACTCAGCATCATCATGCAACTCGCCCACAGCCACACAGCCAGTGAGGGGAGGAGCAGGACCCTGGCAGGGGCCTGTCGGCTCAGGGTCAGGCGCCCACTTACCACCAGGTTCTCCAGCGTCAGCGTCTGGTCCGTGTCCCGCAGGATCTCCACTTCACCCTTGTGGGTCAGTTTGGAAGCCGGGAGCTTGCATGCCTCCTTCTGTTGCTGCTCAATTATCTCCAGGCCCTGGCAGGGTGGAGCAGCCCCAATTCATCCAGGTCTGGGGCGCCCTGGACACCATGACCCCAAGAGCTCTTTCCTCTCATGAGGCTGCCCCATGCCCACAGGCCTCCACACTTCTGCTTTTGTCATTCCTCTCACCTGGAAAACCCTCAACCCCCAGCCCTACCTCCTCACATTCCACTCATTCCTCCAACGCAAGCTCTGCCTCCTCCAGGAAGCTGCCCTGAACTTCATTCACAAGTCAAACTTGCCTCTGACTGCATCCCAGCCTCTGTCCTGGAAAGAGCAAGGTGTAGTGGGAAGAGGGAAGGCTCTGGAGCGCTGGGCTGGCTGTTCCTAAAGACCCACGAAGCAGTGTGGTCTGGAGCAGCATGACCCTGCATGGAGGCTCGGTTTGTCTCTCCTCTCAGAATTAAGAGCCTCCATCAAACAGTCTGCCTGCAGCCTGGCTCATGGCAAATGCTATTTGTGACTCTTACGTCGATCAATATCATCCTATCCTAAATGTTTCCTGAAAACCCACCTCTCCCTTTCTAACGGACCCCGAGACCGCACTCCTATCCTTCCTGCAGGCCCAGCTGCATGGGCGGGGCTCTGTGTGCTGCAGAGGAGGGCTTGGAAGGCCCTGCTCACTGCTGTCTTATCTTGAAATTCTTAATAGTTGCTGAAAATTTTCATGCTGCACTGGCCCCACAAATGATGTAGCTGGTCCTGCTTCCTGGCCTGCACAAGTACTTGGCCAGTAGTGGATGGAGCCACCTAAGGAACTCTGAATTAAGTTATTAACACCAGCTGTTCTTCTAATCACCCCAGTATCTTCCAGAACAAGGGCCTTGGTGCCCCACCCCCTCCCATGGGCCCTACTCCCTCCCTCTCTGGGTCATCACCAACTACTAGGAAAATACCCCCAAAGCCCGCTCAGTGCCCACCTCCCCTGCCCCTGAGCAGTTGCCAGAAAGCAATTCCCAGGGAGAGGCCCACAGGCACAGGGATTCCTCACTCAGTCTTTTCCTGGGCTTCTGAAGTTGCGATGGGAACAGAGGCACCTCAGGGGTCTATCCCCCTTGGGTGGTGGATGGCACTCCTGGACTCTGGACTCTGGCCCAGCCTCCCTGCCCACTCCCCCTACACAGCCCAGTTCCATAGGAAAAAAAGCAGGTGGGGCCCTCCCTGGTGGCCTAGGGGTTAATTAAGTCTCAGCGCTATCACTGCTATGGCCTGAGTTCTCGAGTTCGATCCTTGGCCAGGCAGCTAGCCCACAGGTGCAGCAGACCTCTCCTGTCTCGCCCGCTGCTCCGCTCAGAGTGTATTTCAGTAGATCCACCTGTTCTGCTCCACACTCACTGCCCCCTCCCTGCATCTCTGGCCTAGACCCCAGTTCTTGCATGCATAAATGCATAAAATAAATGTTTTTTAAAAAAAGAAAAGCAGGTGGAAGACCAGTACCCCTCAGGGCTGCCTCCTCTCTGCCCAGCCTCCTCCCCATTGCCTTTCATTCTGCCTCTTTTCTTAGTTCTCTCTGGCGCTCCCTATTTGCCTGCTCTTTCTGTCTTGGTTTCTCTATCATCTGCTCCAGTGTACCTTCCCCACACTTTGCTCTCTGCTTGTGTGTGTGTCCCTGCTCTCTCCTCGGGCCACCCCCTCCACACTCCCTCTCCTGCACAGCCTGTCCCCTCTCCTGATTTTGCTGAGGAAAGCTCACCCTTTTCTCCTCCTGGTCCCGCCAGCGGGCCAGCTCCTGAGGGGCTAGCTGGATGGAGTTCATCCGCACCAGGCAGTAGGGGGTGACAGCTCCATGAACCACTTTGAGAAACAGGTCCTGCAGGGACAGGGCAGGGGCTGCACAACCAGAGCCCCCCACCCCAACAAGTGGGGGGGTGTCTGGCCCAGCCCAGAGCTCTACTCACTGGGTTTCTGGGGTCACGCAGGTTGAACAGCAGGCTGCGGTACTTGGTTTTGTAGCGGCCATTGGTAGTCTGTGTCAGGTCGAAGAGGGCTGCCTCGATGCCAGCAGCGATGCCCTCCACTGCCTCCTGGCTCAGCACCACGTCTGGGAGCTCCCGGAGGCTGCGGGCACAGAGGCAGAGCCAGGACCCAGCCTGTGAGGTCATCCAGGCAGTCAGCCTGAGCGGGAGAGATATGAATGGGGAGCAGAATCCAGGCCAACTCCAGTGTCTCTTTGGGTTATTTTTCTACATGGGCCTATTTCTTCTCACCCCAGCTCTGTGAGGAAGAAATGTTACTGCTCTCCATCTGCAGACGGAGAGGCTAGGGTTCAGAGGAGATAAGGGGCTTGCCCAAGGCCACACGACTGGTGACTAACTGTCCAGCCCATGCGCTGCCTGTAGCCAGTGGACAGGGGACGTGTGGAGTGGAGAAAGCCTGGCCTCAGAGTAGGGGATGGGCCCTCACCCTAGTGGTAACCCTGAATCTGTCACTGCCTTGTGCTGTGCGGCCTCTGCCAAGTCCTGCCCTCTCTGGGCTCAGATCTGAGATGGATCCAGCAGTCTCACTGTGTCCGGAAGCATTTGCTGTGGGAGAACCTGAGCAGAGGCCGAGGGCTGCAGCAGCTCAGTGGGCAAGCACAGCCTTGGAGCCGGAGACCTGAGTTCACGCTTCAGCGCTCCACTCTCTCCTGTGTGGGTGCGTGGCCGCCTCGCTAAGGAGTCAGTCATACACCCAGAGGCCCTCAGTACCGGCAGGGCCCTGGAGGTGGCGATCGGCGAGGACAGCCCATCAAGGTGTCCGAGAAGTTAGGGGAGCAAGGCCTTACCGACTCCACAGCACCTCCTGCATGGCACGGACCACAGTGCCCCGTACCCTGACATCCCAGGGTAGCTTCTCATGCTGGGGCCAAAGCTGAGCTGTGGGGAAAGAGAGTCCGGGTTTCCAGGGATGCCCAGAGGCAAGGGGAGGGGGCAAATCAATGCTGATGGGCTTAGGCAGACAGGGAGGGGTCCCGCCCTCAGGGCCTAGGCTGTCTGGACGTTGGTCTTTGAGCTGAGGCACAGTCAGCAGCCCCACCCCTTTGGGAAGGGGTTATAGGAAATTGGGGTGGGGGAGAAGAGTCCTAGTAGGCAGTGGGCCAGGAGCTGAACATGAACCCCTCTAGTCTCCAGCAGTCCCTGGAGCACGCAGCTGCTGAGAGGTCCCCCTCTATGGCCCTCACCTGTATCCTGGTCTTGTTCACCAGCCTCATCTTCAACCTCCTCTGGGTTGCACTGTGGGGGTTGGGGGGAGAACTGAAGCGGTGCATCTGGGTTCAGGACACTGCCTGCCCCTCACCTCCCCACCTCCACATTCCCCTTCACCCGGGCTCCAGCCAAGAAGGCCAAGGCTCTCACCCCTGGACACTCAGCGCCGGCCTCCTGAACAGACACCCCCTCCTGGAAGAGAAAGAGGATGTGGAGAAGATGGGGTCCTCCAGGGCAAGGAACAATTCAGATGGTAGAAAGGGTCAAGCGGCCCCCAGGGCCCCATGTTAGCCCTTCAGAAGGGAGCCCCTAGAGGACCTGGGGCAGGTGTCCTGCCCCTTTAAGAACAAAGGCTGAGGCTGCTTTTTCTCCAGATCCCCTGGGGGCCCAGCTGCACCCTCCTTCAGCCCAGCTCCAAAACTCAGGAGCTGGGAGAAAGAGCACACACAGAACCTGGCCAGCCACCCAGGCAGGGCTGTGACTTTTATATCACTCCACCTTTCTGGGTGCAGTGACATCTCTGAACGGGGTGTGAAGGCACCTCTCTCTGCAGGATTAGGCAAAACCATCTGTGTTCCGCACCTGGCACCCAGTGGGGCCCTGAGCCCTGGACCTTTTCTTCCTTCTGGGCCTCTTGGCAGGTGAGGTTGAGCTAACCTCCATCATGTCCTCCAGAGCCTCCAGTTTTGGAGGCTGGGGCCCGTTGGCCTGGCCGTGCAGGAGAGCCCCCAGGAGGTGGATCACTGGCCCAGAACCAAGCTGCAGGGAGAGAAGAACACTTCAGAACCAAGCGGGGTGGGGCCTCCAGAGTGCTCACCTCACTGCTTAATGTGTTTTTCCCCACTGGACTGTAAGCGCCATGAAGACAGGGAACAAGTATGTTTTGGTGCCCACTAGTTCCCCATTACCTAGAAAAGGCCTGCACATAGTAGGGGTCAATGAATGTTTGCTGACTGCCTGGGTTATGTCCCAGGAGAGGGGCTTATATTCATCTGCATCCTCACATCTATCCATTTCATTCCCGGTCATGTTCAGAATTTACTGGACCTTGTATTGAGAACTTTCTCCTTCATCCTCTTCACTATATATATATATTTCAACAGAGTGAACATATCCTGTTCTGAATTTACTTCCTCCACCCTGTCATGCCCCTTTTCTGGGCCCTTTACCCCTCTGCTGAAGTAGCTACATGGACAACATGTCTATTATGCCTTCTTAAAGGTTGCCCACCAACCCTCTATATTGCCAACTATATTGCCCCTGAAACCCTCTATATTGCCCCTGAAAGAAAGCCCTTCCTGCGGTTTTTGATTTTCTAATGAGATATAGTACAGATCTATCCTCCCCTTATTGCTATGGCTGCTAGGAAGCTCAATGTTAACTTAGAGCTTAACAGTCTTATCTTTCCAGGACTGGCAAAAGGGTGAGGGGGTATTATAAGACTTCCCTTTCTCCTTCTCTTTTGCTCATTTTCCTTAGGCTTTTATCTCCTATTAAGCATATTTTGATCCTTTTAATTAACTGTAAACCATGAGGAATGGTTTTGAAGAAGGTGGATATGAAAAGTAATTCTGGAACAAATTATCATGAAATGGTCAGGTACTAAGGTTTTAAGGAAACTGGGAGCCAGAGGTTCCATCTCATAGAGGAGGGAGTACTAGGTTGCTCTGAAGGAGGGCCATTGGGGGTGGGGCGGGATGGCCTCTGCTGTGGACCCCTCTCACCCCACCAGACCTGAAGGAAGGGAAGAAGAATGAAGAAATAAAAAGAAAAACCTACATAACACACATGCTTCACCCCAACGGGCATTTTCATTTTCTCCTTGGAAAGAAAGAGGATTAGAGATTAGAATCTAGAGGGCCCAGGAAGCCCACTGCAGGGACTTCACAGGGAGACACTCATACTAAGGTGAAAGACGCATGTTCAGTGTTCCCAAGGTTGGCATTTATAACAACAAACAAGAGAACAATCCCGTGTCCATCAAAGGGGGAGGGTTAATAAGCACTGGCACTGGTATACGGTCATTAAAAAGGGAGAGTCACAATAGAAACTGCCTCTCATCAGGGGCTTATAAAGTAGCTGGCCCTGGAGGAGACACATCACACGTGATTCACTATGGACAACACCATGAGGTACATACTATTTCTATCCCCACTTGTCAGATGGAGAAACTGAGGCTCAGAGAGGCTCATACTAAACATCAGAGTTAGGATTAGAACCTAAACATGCAGGCATTTAACTGCTGGGCCACGTGGAGAGCACTGACTGATGTGAAAAGATCCACGGAGAGATGTCAAGGCATACTATTTGGAGAAAAAGAAAAAAACAGGCTACACACGGCATCTCTGTTGCATAAGCTCGTTCATGTAAATACATATTTATAGACTTGAAACAGAGATTCTCTCTAGGGAATAAAATTCCAGGGGGACTTTCACTTTCTACTTGTAGACACAGATATTTATGTTATTCAAAAAGAGTGTATTTCTTTCATAATCAGAAATGATTTTTTAAATTAAAAAACAAGTTCAAGACAATGTAGTCTGCTACTGTTTGCATTAAAAAAAGAATTTTTAAATTTGTATTTGCTTGAATCTGCATAAAATATCTCTGGAAATATCCACAAGAATCTAAAGCTAAAATTGCCAGCAGGAAAGACACTGGGAGCTGGACTGGAGTGTGTTCACTCTTTTTATTTTTTTAAACCATGGGAATGAATTGGCCTTTTGGAAAAGTAAACTGAGAAAGAAGGTGGGGGGCACAGGGAACATCGGGGAAGGAGAGAGAGGAGGTATTAAGAATAACACTTTGCAGTTTAAAACCTCTGGGCTGGGCCCTGCCTCAGGGGTCCATACACCAGCATCATAAGGTTGTAAGACAACAAGCAGCAGAATCAGACAAGCAAAGACAGACGCTGGACTCCTCAGACCAGAATACAGGATATGTGCATATAATGTGTTTTAAGAAATTTAAAAAGCCTAACATGTGAAAACTCCCCCCACACACACACACACAGCAGGTGGATGGGAATCAAATACAACTTATGGAAATGAAAAATATAAAAAATTAGTAACTTAATGTATTGGTTTAATAACATATTAGACACAGCTGAAATAAGTTAATGACCTGAAAGACAGAGTTAAAGAAATTATCTAGAATGTTCACAGCACAGACTAGAATACAAAGAGACAGAACAGATAGAGTGAAGAGAACTCATCCATCTAACTGAAGTTCCAGAAGGAGAGGAAAGGGATTGGGGCATGGCAGTATTTGAAGATATATTGAGGATATATGGTTGAGAATTTTCCAGAATTGATAAAAGACAACAATTCACAGATTCAAAATGCTCAGTGAATTTCAAGCAGGATGAATAACACCCTGATACTTCATAGTGAAACTGTTCAACACCTATGATAAGGAGACTCTAAAAGCATCAAGAGAAAAAATAAGTTGAGCACTGAAACTGTGCATCCACTGTTCTGAATGCTTTACATGTTAGTTCATTTAATCCAAAGATATTTTATGCCAATTCAAGCAAATACAAATTTAAAAATTCTTTTGAGCCCTATAAGCTAGGTACTGCTATTATTACTGCCCCCATTTTACAAAAGAGGAAATGGAGTCACACAAACACAGAGAAGTGAATCATCTTATCCAGTGTCATACAAACAATACACCAAAAATCTGGGATTTAAATCCAGGTGGCCTAATTCCAGAGGACACACCTTTAATCACCACCCTCTACTGCCTCTCACCAAAAGGCACTTTACCCACAAAGGAATGGCAATTAGACTAACAGCTAATTCACAATAGTAACAGTGGAAAGCAAAACAGAGTAGAATAATATTTTCAGTGTGTTTAGAGAAAATAACTAGACCCAGACAAAAATAATTTTTGAGAATAAGAATAAAATAAAGATATAGAGAATGCCAAAAGAGTTATTACTCTTCCTGGTCGCTTAATTTTTCTCCATAAACAAAATATTAAAGGATCATCATGAGGAAGAAAGGAAAAAAATACCTCAGACAAAAAAGTTGAGAAGCAAGGGGGAATTTTAAGCAAAGAAAATGATAAGTATGTTGACAAAACTAAAAATGTACTGATGGTATGAAACTATAATAACAGTGTAAAATTTGTGGAATTAAAAAATAAGAGGACCAGGCCTCCCTGGTGGCACAAGGGGTTAAGCACCACACTATGAAGCAGTCTGCAGCCTCTGCAGCACGAGTTCGATCCGCGACCTTCAAGGAAGCAACCCACATGGCGCAGGAGAACTCTCCTGTCTTGCCTGCTGCTCCCCTCAGCAGTGCCTTTCAGTCAGTCTGCCTGTTCTGTTTCCCACTCTGTCTCTGGCGAATCCTGTCAACCCTCCCACACACACATCTTAGGCCTGTACCCCAGCTCTTGTATGCATAAATAAATAAATCTCTGAAAAAAAAAAAGAGGACCGATTTGCTGGATAATAATGACACATAAGTCGAGAAGGTACATGCTTGGGATTAAAGTATTCCAAGATCCTTACATCCTTTCAGAGAAAGATTAAAATAGTAACTGCCTTTATACTTTGACATGTTAGGTATTCATGTTACAATTTACAAGGTAGTCACCAAAAGAATATACACAGGGCACAGAAAACTTCCAAACTACAGAGGAATAAAGAGGAAAAAGAAAAAAGAATCAATCTAAAACAAAGTAATAAAAGGGAGACAAGCATAGAAAATGCAGAATATATACAAAACACAAAATTAGACAGCAGGAACAGATTCAAATAAATCAGTAAGTACAACAAACATAAATGGGTTAATTCTTCAGGTAAATACAAAAATTATCTGGTCTTAATAAAATCCAGTTTATAAGCTATTTATGAGACCCATTTCTAAAATACAAGACTACAACTAGGTTAAGATAAAACAATGGAATAATATGTGAAGGGCAAATATTAACCAAATAAAGCTTTGCATTATATTAACATCAGATAAAACAAACTTTAAGGCAAAAAACAGACAACCACTTTACAACATAATGATAAACAGTTTTACCAGGAAGCTATAGCAACTAAATGTATAAGTATCTAACAAGAATCTCAAAAAAATATCAAGCATCAACTGACAAAGCTACAAAAAAAAAGACAAATCCACCATTACAAGTAATTTTAATGTATCTATTGATAAATCTAGCTGACAAAATAATTTTTAAAAATCTAATGATAACAACAAGCTTCATCTACATACATGGAGAGACCACTATTCCTAACAAATGGAGAATACATATCTCTTTCAAGCACAGGTATCCCGTTTTTACAAAGTTCCCATTACACCACTTCATTTTTTAAGAAAGGCCTACATTAGCACCTGTTTTTACTGACGGAAAGAATCAGAAGAGGATTTTTGCTTTACCACTGAAGGCAAAAATGTAAAAATAGCCTCTGTGTTTGTTTTGCAGCAGCTGTTCGAGAGGCGGCATGGACCCCCAGCAGCAAGAGTGCCCCCCCAAGCTCCTTCCAGGGGAACCCTTTATACCGGCTGTTCATTTATCACATAATTCCTGCTTTTAGCACAGTTTAGGGTTTAAGTGTTATTTATTTGACATGATTTGGTAGGCTATTCTTTTGGATCACAAACAGTTCAAAATTTTTCCATATAAATTAGTAGTAATTGTTTCTTTATACCATTGTGACTGATGAAAGGTTTCAAAGAAACCTGCTACTTTCAGATGGGGCAGGGGGAACTGTACTCATAAAACAAATATGAAAATTAAGCATAGCCTGGGTCACAAACAAACCAAAACAAATCTCAAGAGACATTTTTTAGTATTTTTTAGACCAGCATTGCCTAACAGAAATATAAATGTGAGTCATAAGTACACTTTTAAGGTTTCAAACAGCCACATTCAAAAAGGTAAAAAAGAAACAGGTAAAATTTACTATATCTAAATTATGTATAAAAAGATATTATCGGGCCTCCCCTGGTGGCGCAGCAGTTGAGCACTGGGCTGCAGCGAAGCTGCCCGCAGCTTCTGCAGCGCTGGTTCGATCCCCAGCTGCCAGCAAGGGTCCCACATGGCACAGCACACCTCTCCTGCCGCGCCCACTACTCCCCTCAGCAGTGTATTTCGTCAGTCCACCTGTTCTGTTCCCTGCTCTGGCTCTGATGAATTCTCTCACCCTCCCGTGCTTCTGACTGTACCCAGTGCTTGTATAAATAAATAAATCTTTAAAAAATAATAATAATAAAAATAAAAAGATATTATCATAAAGTTGGGTTTATTCCAGCAATGCAAGACTGACTTAATATTTAAAAATACCCAACTCATTAAATTTACTACATTAATGCATAAGAAGATTAAAAATCATATTATTATCTGAAACAATGCAATAAATGTATTTGATAAAATGCACTGTCCATTTAGGATAATGAGCAAAACAGGAATGGAAGGGAGCTTCCTTAACACGACAAAGAGCATCTATATATAGACACAGCAAAAATCATACTCAAGGTGAAATGATGACCACATTTCCTTTAAAATCCAGAACAAGACAAGGGTCCCTGCTATCACCATTTCTTTCAACATTATGCTAAAGGTCTTAACTAGCTCAATAAGGAAAGGGGGCGGAGGGGATGTAAGAACCGGAAAGGAAATAACAAAACTGTCATTATTTGCAGGCAATATGATTATATATCAGCAACAGTTAGAAACTGCAATTTTTTAAGCTCCCATTTTATAATGGCATCAAAAAATATAAAGCAGTACAACCCGATATTAGATGCTTTTAGATAGAAAGAACACATCACCACCCATCAAGTAGTTTGGGTCAAAATCTTTAATTTTGAATCTAATCATAGCTCTAGATTCAACTACCAGTTCACAAGAACTACAGAAGACAGGGGAACATGTTTAACCATATCATGGGATGCAGTAAGCTACAGGACAAACAGGTTACAAGAAAAAACAATTTATGGAGAGGAATCTATAGACTAAAAGAGATTTAAAAGGCATGTCAACCAATTTCAGTGTGTTTAGATACTAACTTTAAAAGACAAGCCATAAAAATAAACCATCATCTTTATGAGACTACTGGAAATTTAGATATTGAATAAATGTTTGATGATTGAATGTTTGATGATCTTAAGGAATTATTATCAAACTTTTGAGGAATAATAACATGAACTATAAGACCCCCAGGGGAGCTACCCTGCTTACTGAACAAATTATAATAATAATAAAGTTCAATGAAAGTGAACTGGCTTCACTTTCAGCTGGCTCAGAACATGGACTCTGCAATCTAGGCCTGGGTTTCAAATTCTGTTTCCACCATTTCTTTGCTGTGTGACCTTGAGTGAATCACTTAATTTCTCTGTATCCCAGTTCAGTATAAGGGCAAATTAACACTGACTTTTAACATTACTGTAGGAATTAAATATGAGATGATGACACATGTGAAGTTCCTGGTATACAGAAAGCACTCAATAAAAAAAGCTACGCTTAGGGCCTCCCCGGTGGCGCAGCGGTTGAGCGCTGGGTTGCAAAGCTGCCCGCAGCCTCTGCAGCGTCGTTTCGATCCCCGGCGGCTCCCCGGCCACCAGAGGAGGGTCCCACATGGAGCGCAGACCTCTCCTGCCGCCCGCTGCTCCCCTCAGCAGTGTACTTGGGTCCTTCTGCCTGCTCTGCTCCCTGCTCTGGCTCTGGTGAATTCTCTCACCCTCCCGCGCTTCTGACTGTACCCAGTGCTTGTATAAATAAATAAATAAATAAATAAAATCTTTAAAAAAAAAAAAACAAGAGCTACGCTTAGACTGCCATTCTGTCGGAAAGACATCCTCCTCCCTCACATACTTTGCAGCTGCAAATGGGCACTTGAGCCTGGGTGGGGCCAGAGGAGCTGTGTGCCTCCCCATTTGTGATGGGCAGATCGGAGGGCACTGGCCTAAGTGCCTCCTTACATCACTGCTATCCCATCCACTGCTCACCATGGGACTTAGGACAGAAAAGAAAATGGTGTTCCAACCCACCTTCCCACACCTTTCCCTTCCAACAGTCTATTTCACATCTGAAGAATCCAACACAACCAATCTCTCCTCTCAGATTCTGGGGCCCAGCTAATTCCACCATTTCACAGAGTAGGCAACTAATATTCAAAGAAGAGACGTCTCTCATTTAAAGTCACTCTGCAGCAAAATGCAGAGCCTGACCTTGAACCCGTCTATCCATCCCTGGCCCAACCCAGGCTCCCTAGAGAAGAAGGAGGGCCCTGAAAGGGCTCTAGACCAGTTGGGTACCTAAGCTTCCCCACACCCCGCTCAGCCCTGGCCTCAACCACCCACCCGTCCCTGTCATAACCCAGCCTCAATTCTTCTCCTGCAGCTGGCACAAGTTGCCATGGCAACAGGTTGTTTGGGAAGTTGAGGGGTGATGGGCTGTGCCGCAGAGTCAAGGAGGGGACCTGGGGGACAGAGCAGCCATGGGCTGCTTTCAGTCCAGGCAAGCAGGCGCTTGGCTCAGCTACAGAGCTCAAACAAGCCCCTCAATATGCAGCAGACTGGGGGACCCCAATGCTGGGCATCAGGCCCGAATACATAATCGGAAATGGGGAGAAGCCGAGTGCATGGAACTGTTCACCCCCAGCATGATTTAGAGCAGGACAAAACTATGTATGTCAATAACAGGTAGCACTTTTGAATGCGTGTCCTGTTCCCAGTACTATGCTAAATGCGTAACATGCGTCATCTCCTTCATGCCTGGTCACCACCCTATGAGGTAAGTACTTTTAATACTCCCATTTTGCAGATGAGGAAATTACGCTCGAAAGGTGAAAACGCTTGCCCAGATCATTTAGATAGTGATAGAGCCTGGACTGAATGCCGCCCTGTTGGCCTCCAGACCTGGTGCTCTTAACTACACATGGTCGGAAATGAGAAAAGGAAGTCCCAGCCCATCCTCTCCTGCTGGCAGAGCTGATGGCTGCGACAAATACAAATACGGCTGTAGACAGCTGGGTTGCAGGGTTGGGGGAAGCGCAGATGGGCAGAACAGTATGTACCAACTTGGAAAGAGCTTCAAATACTACAGTGTTTAAAAAATAAACAAAGTGTACATCCCAGACAATGATGCATAGTATCATATGATGATATAATATAAATAAAAAGGTTCAATGCGTAGAAATCCATATAGCATACAAGAATGGACTTCTATAAAGAATCATAAAGATTCTTGTAGAAAGAACCATAAAAAGAACAGCGGACGCTTACTGTTAACAGCGGTTATCCCCAGATAAAGGTCTATGGGGCGAGCAGACATCACAAGGGATTTCCTTATTTTGTCTTAACAAATTATTTGTAAATTTTTTAAAATGTCAAAAACATCAAGTTATAAAAGTTGACACATGATTGATCCCATCTCTAGGCAAAGAAAAGATATATATATATGCGTAGGACAAAAATGGAAGGAAGAATATATACCAAAATGTCAGCAGGAAATAGCTCTGAATGTTGGCATTATGGAGATTTTGTCTTTATTTCCTATGATAGACACATATCCATTTTTTTTGTTAAAATAATATTTTTCAAACCAAAACAAACCCTTGAAATCTGACTATAGATTATTGTGGGTGCCAGCGGGGAGGCGAGGGGGTAGGAAGGAAAGCGAAAGAGAGCCCGGCAGGCTATGGGGGGGGATTAGTGTGACTTTGGGGGTGAGCATGGTGTGGGAACAAACATTTGTGGAGGTGTGAAGCTACCTACAACCCTAAAACAAATACAGTGTTGTAAACTGACATTACCTTGATAAACATTAATAAAAATGAATGTCTTGGAGTGATGTTTATGAAAACAATGCAATGGCATTCAAAGGTAGCTATGGTGCCAAATAGTGATGAAATTACAGAGGCAGGGCCTCCCTGGTGGCGCAAGGGGTTGAGCACAGCACTGTAAAGCTATCAGCAGCCTCTGCAACATGAGTTCGATCCCCGGCGGGCCAGGAAGCTACCCACATGACGCAGCAGACCTCTCCTGTCTTGCCCGCTGCTCCCCTCAGCAGTGTGTTTCAGTCAATCTGCCTGTTCTGTTCCCCACTCTGTCTCTGGTGAATCCTCTCACCGCCCCCCCCCCACACACCTCTGGCCTGCACCTCAGTTCTTTTTATGCATAAAAAAAAATCTTTAAGAAAAAAAATGAAATTACACAGGCAGCTCAACATCTCAGTTCCACTGGTTTGCTGTTTGGCCTTGAGCTGTGTGGCCCCTTACTGTTTGGTATTTTAGCTCTCCGAGCCTCCGTGTGCCCATCAGTAAAATGGGTCTGAACCAACAGTGTCCAGCTGACAGGGTGGTTAGAGAGACCCAAGCTCTGTCTCAGCACACAGAAGGCAGGTTACATGCCAGACGGGAAGACCAGTGAGCACGCAATGCAGCAAAGACAGGCTGCGGGGCCAGAGTCGTAGGTCTGACATTTACTGGCTGTGTGGATCTTGGGCCTATACCTGACCTCTCCAGGCTTCATGTGAAAGTGAAATCAAAAGCAGCTAGCACATAATACATAGTCAATAAATGTGACCAAAATTCAACTCTGTAAGAAATGTACACCATTTCTTCATTCAAAAAATATGACTTCTTCTGCCTTTGTATATAAACGCAGTAGCTATGATTCTTAATAAAATGATAATTGCTATTACTGTAAGTAAAAGAACAATGGAAAAGAAAGTGTGGCTGGGCACTGCTTCTCTTGCTGTGTGAGCTTGGAGAGCTTTCCTGAGCCTCAGTTTCCCCATATAGATCTATAAGGCTAAAGTCTGTATCATATAGGGCTATTGTTAACACTCAAATTTAAAATAACATAAGCAATGTTCCTTGTGCCTTACACTGTGAGAGGCACAGTATTTACATCTTCTCATTTAATCTTCAAAATGATCTCAATAAATTGGAATTAACATTCATTCCTTTTTCCAGATGAAGAAATAAAGTTAAAAAATGTCCCCAGGTTGCTCAGTCAGGAGTGGGCACAGGTAAGATTTGAACCCAGAACCCATCGACTTGAAAAGGTAGAGACACTCACAAGAAGTCAGTAATTGTAATGTATTTTCTTCTTCCTGACTTGGTGGGCCTCAGTTTACTCATACATAAAATGGGTTGAGGGATGATGTTTGCAAAGAGCCCGTCAAACTGAGCTGTATTAAATTCCTCCACCAAGTATGGTGTTGAGAGCGCAGCCTGGCCCTTCCCTATCCCGACCTTCAGACTCAACTTACCAGTTTGGGGTAGACGCGTGGGCCCAATTCCTCTGGCTGGCCCTGGGATTTGTCGTCCTGGCTTCTGTCTGTGCCCTGGTCCCGGGGGTGGGATACCAGGCCCCTTCTCAACTTCTTAGCACCTGGGGATTTTCTCTGCCCCCTGCTTGGGGCTGAGGGAGCCTTGCTGGCTACAGGTTCCAGGGAGCTGATGGGAGCAACAAGCCCTTGCCCCAGACTCCCTGAGGACACTGGCTGAGCCTTCACCTTCAGCTTGTCCTGGTTTTGTGAGGGGACAGGGCCGTCGTCACTGCCAGCCCCTATGCTGCGCCCAGCTTCTTGCTGCTCTGTGGAAGCCTCTCCAGACACTTCAAGGCACAGTGTCTGGCTGTGAGGAGAAGCCTGGGCAGCTGGCATGATGAACTCTCCTCCTTCAAGCAATGGGAGCTCAACAGGCTCACAGGGGCTGCCTGGTTGAGCCCTGTTGCCTGCACTGGGCAAATATTCCAACTTCTCAGCCTCAGAGGCACATCCCACACAACTTCCACTTGGCTCTCCAGGCCCAAACCCAGGGCCCTTAGGGGAGGGAGGCCTGCACAGGCCTCCCAAGAACTCCAGGTCAGGCCCCAGTGGGGGGCCTGCAAACAAGGGGCTGTCCCCCCCAGGGTTCTGACCAAGCCACAAGAGGCTGCCAGCCCCCTCCTCACTCTCTGAACAGGCCACACACTTCCTTTTTTTCTTTATTGTCCCCACAGGGGCTGGGCTCCGTGAGGATGGCAGACCCCTTTGTGAGACCTCTTTGCTGAGGCTTCTTCCATCACACCCTGGAGAACTCCTCCCACCTTCTCTGGCCTGTCTGGGCCTCAGGCAGTACACCTTCCTGTCCCTTGCCAGACCCTCCCTGCCCATCGAAGCTCTCTCTGGGAGACTCACAGGCATGCCACACTCATTCGTGGGCCAACCTTCAGCTAGAATGTCGTGCATGGCAATGTGGAGCCTTCTGAAAGCTGGAGCCCTCCCCTGGGTGACCTCTTTGGGCAGCTGGATGTGGCCCTTGGGGTCAGGCGCTGAATCCTGGCTCTGTCCCAGAGTTTGCACCTCCTGCAATACCAAGTGGGCCTGGGGCTTGGGCTCCATTTTGGCTGCAGCCGTGCCTTGATGGACCTCTTCCCTAAGGACCCTCTTCCTGTTGCCAGGCCAAACTGGGACCCCAGGCCCTGTGCCCGGAAGAGCCAGGCCTGACCCCAAGCTGATTTTCCCCACGTCACCCTGGAAAAGTTCACAGCTCTGTCGGGACATGAGAACAGGGTCCTCTGTGCTGGCGTCCTCTGCAGTCCCCTCCTGAGACATGCCTGTCCACCTACGGGGGCCTGTGAGTAAGCAGAGAGGCAATGTCACCACAGGGTGTCCCACGGGCCAGTCCACGCCACAAACCAGGCCAGTGAGGACCTGGACAGCAGCATCCGTCCCAGGTAGCACCCTTAGGCCCTGCCCATTCCTCAGACTAGGGGCCCCAGAGAGACAGCAACCAGTGATGTAAGCACCCCAGCAGGCCCCGGCACCTCCTGGCCAGGTAAAGGAGCTACAAACAAGACTGAGCTACAACTATTCTTAAGGTCATGCCATGTCGGAGAATTCACACTTCCCTTGGATGGGGTATAATAACAATGACCATGACTTGTGTGTGTTATTTCATTTCATCCTGGCAGCCGCAGGTGAAGAACCTGAGAGTCAGAGGTGTGAGAGACTCGCCCAGGACACCACACATGCGCGGAAGAGCCGGGATGCTCTCCCCAAACTAAAGCAGCGCTCTGGAACACGCCACACGCCCACCAAACACCGAAGGGGGTAATTCCCACACCCTACGCGCCCCCTCACATAGGTCCCATTCTAACAGACACCCCAATCATATTCCCGGACCAGACAAGAGAGTACCTCACTGCTCAGGGAGCTCGGCCTCTGCCGCCCGCCGGTCCACCGGCCGCCCCTGGGGTCCCGGGTCTGGAGAGGGGCTGGGTTCGCTTCACGCTCAGCAGCCTGAGAGGGGTGGGCGGAGGTGGGCGGAGGTGGGCGGAGGTGGGCGGAGGTGGGCGGAGTCTCGACGGCGTGCAGAGGGCCGCAGGCGTCCTGGCGCGCAGCCCCTGGCAGAGGGCGCCCTCTCGCTCCCGAGGGCTTCCTGGAGGAGGTGCCTGTAGCTCCTGCTCCTAAGCAGGAGTTGGTGGGTGCCTGGGGCTAGTTATCCAAGCGCCTTGAAAGCCTACCTGAGAATTCAAACTTTTGATTGGAGTGTAATGAAGAGTTATTAAAAGTGCCCGAAAACCAAAAGGGATTCTCATTCTCAGCATTAGGTCTAGATTTTTGCCTGATTACTTATTATTTATTATCGCAAATATAAAATTGTAACTCATCTAGATCAAAATACACATCCAAGTCCAAAAGAAAGGTTTAAAATGAAGTTTAAAACATCTGTTACTTTCCAACTCTTAAAAGCAACCTTTTCTTTTTTTAACCATGTCTTTGTGGTTTGCTACTTTTTTTTTTAAGATTTATTTATATATATATACAAGAGCTGGGGTGCAGACCAGAGGTGTGGGGAGTAAGAGGATTCACCAGAGACAGAGTCGGGAGCAGAACAGGCAGATCCACTGAAATACACTGCTGAGGGGAGAAGCTGGCGAGACAGGAGAGGTCTGCTGCACAGTGTGGGTAGTTCCCTGGCTGGGGCTGGAACTCCTGCTGCAGTGACTGTGGATAGCTCCATCGTGCTGTGACTTAACCCCTTGTGCCACCAAGAGGCCTGAATTTATGTTACATTCATAAGGGTGACTAACACACTCATACTCTACTTGATTTCTTAATTTTATGTTATCTCTTGATTCCCTGCTGTGTAATTTCATTAACTATCTGTCCCCCCTCCTCCCAATTTTTCTTTTTTATATTTATATTTGTTGTTTTTCTATTCCTTACCGTAGCACTTTGTTTTTTTTTTTTTTTTTTTTTTAAAGAGTAGAGACATTTTTTTTTTTTTTTTTTTTTTTTTTTTTTTTATTTATTTATTTATTTGTTTGTTTTGTTTTTGTTTTATACATGCACTGGGTACAGTCAGAAGCGTGGGAGGGTGAGAGAATCCACCAGAGCCAGAGCGGGGAGCAGAGCAGGCAGGAGGACCGAAGTACACTGCTGAGGGGAGCAGTGGGCGGCAGGAGAGGTCTGCACGCCATGTGGGACCCTCCTCTGGTGGCTGGGGAGCAGCCCGGGATCGAACCGGCGCCGCAGAGGCCGCGGGCAGCTTCGCAACCCAGCGCTCAACCACTGCGCCACCGGGGAGGCCCTCCTTACCGTAGCACTTTGAATGTTAGTCTTAACTGTCTGTTTTTTCTTTGAATTGAAATGTTTGACTCTTCTCTGTGTGAAACAAATAGTTTCCCTTGATCTCCCCTCCCACTGTTGCCTTCTTGCATCAGCTAAACTTTTGCTTTTGCTTTGTCAAGGTTTGTGGCATGTACAATCTTTCCTGTAAAGATAATTCAGTTTGCCATCCTTTGCTTGTAGATTGATTCTTAGCACTGAAATCTGGATGACATTTACAACATTACCACTATGTAAATACTTGCTCTGCAGAACCAGGGATTTGTAGAACACACTGGGAGGAGAGGGAATTCCTTGCCACTGAGCCTGGGCCCGGTGAGGCCATAGGGAGCTTCCGGGCCAGTGGAATATTATAGTTAAAGTGGATCTACATCTCAGCGTGGATGTACCCTAAAAACACCATGTTGAGTTTATTTTTTTTTAATTAGTTATTTATTCATACAAGAAGTGGGTGCAGGCCAGAGGTGCAGGGGGTGAGCAGATTCACCAGAGATAGATTGGGGAACAGAACAGGCAGATGTACTGAAATACACTGCTGAGGGGAGTAGCAGGTGCGTAAGGAGAGGTCTGCTGCGCCATATGGGTAGCTCCCTGGCGGGGGATCGAACTCGTGATACAGAGGCTGTGGATCACTTCACAGTGCTGTGCTTAACTCCAGGGAGGCCCACACCATGTTGAATTTAAAAAGCAAGATAATGGGCCTCCCCAGTGGCACAGCTGTTGAGCACTGGGTTGCAAAGCTGCTAGCAGCCTCTGTAGCACCGGTTCGATCCCCCGGTGCTACCCCTCAGCAGTGTATTTCAGTCCTTCTGCCTGTTCTGCTCCCTGCTCTGGCTCTGGTGAATTCTCTCACCCTCCTGTGCTTCTGACTGTACCCAGTGCTTGTATAAATAAATAAATAAATAAATCTTTAAAAAAAAAAAAAAAAGGCAAGATAATGTTAATAAAATTGGACCCAGTACAGGGCATATGAGAACCCTCTCTCCCAATCTTCTCTATTTTTTCTATAAAGTTTTTCTCAAAGATAAACTTTACCATTAAAAAAAAACAAACAATAAAAGAATGTGACCCACATGTGACCCACACTGAAGCTGTCATGGTCTGGCTGTTAGGGTCAAAAAGGAGGTACGAGTTGATATTGGATGTCACCAAGGACCACAATTACTCCTCTAAGGAAATAATATTTTAAAAGAAGAAGAATACCTCCCACTAGGGAATGCTCTGATCATGGTGGCAGAGACTTGACCACGTCCCCTAAGACCAAGTGGGCTGTTGTTCTGGTTCATTTTGGGTAATGGAAGTTTCCCACCCTTGGGCAGGGAAAGGGGGAGCAGAGATGCTAGCAGTACCACATAGCATCAGGGATAAACTGACATTATAAATTAACACTTCTATACTGCTACTTTGAGCCAGCAACTGGTCTAAATACTTTACCTATGTTCATTCTATATTTATCTGCTCTCCTTTTCCTATACTAATCCTTACACCAAGACTATGAGTAAGCACTATTATTTTACAGATGAAATAGGCACAGAGAGGTTAAGTAACATAATCAAAGCCAGTAATTGGGTAGAGTTGGTTTAGGGTCCCAAACAGTCTCTATCTCTTGATATTCTAAACTGTCTCATTGTCATAGAAAAATAATTGAAGTAAGGTTTTCTCGGGTTTTGGTCCAGTGCCCAAACTGAATTCAGTTTCCTTCAGGGATTCATTAACAGCACCTCTGATGCACACCTGCTTCTCCTTTCAGCTTCTGCGCTCTCTCTTCTGTTCCACTGATCAATTTGTCTATTCCTGGCCAAAATATCATTGCTTTAATTCTATGTTTTTGTGATAACATCTTGATATCAGGTAAGGAAGCCTGACTCACCCAACTTGGTTCCCATCTTTATGGTTGTCTTAGCTATCTGCTTTCGGTCTTCCATATGAACTGTAGAATTATTCTTTTCAAGTCCCCTGAACAATTCTGTTGGGGTTTAAAAATCTCATTGAACTTACAGATTAGAGTTATTAAATATTTATAGTAATAGTTTTCTTATCCATAAATGTGATATATTTCTCTTGTTCTTTCAGGTCTTCATTTTTGTGATTTTTTCCAGGTCTTCATTTTTGTGATTTTTTCCCCCCATCAAAATCACATTTTGGGCCTCCCCGGTGGCGCAGCGGGTGAGTGCTGGGTTGCAAAGCTGCCCGCCGCAGCCTCTGCAGCGCTGGTTCAATCCCGGCTGCTCCCCGGCCACCTGAGGAGGGTCCCACATGGCGCGCAGACCTCTCCTGCCGCCCGCTGCTCCCCTCAGCAGTGTACTTAGGTCCTTCTGCCTGCTCTGCTCCCTGCTCTGGCTCTGGTGAATTCTCTCACCCTCCCGCGCTTCTGACTGTACCCAGTGCTTGTATAAATAAATAAATAAATAAATCTTTTAAAAAAATCACATTTTGATGTACATTTTAATTAAATGATTCTGTAATTTATAATTTTGTTGCTTTTTTACTTATTATCTTTCCACTTGTTTTTTGCCAATGAAAAAGAATACTGTGTATTTAGACATTTTGCTGAACTTTCTAATAACTTTTATATTGATTACTTTGTAAGTATGCGTAAGTTTATGATGATATGGTTTGAAAATAAAGGCAATTCCACCTTGTATCATAGTTCTATTTCTCTCATTTATGTCTTTCTCATAGGTTGAATCATCGATAGATTATACCCCACTACTTATATGTCATATTTCTTTTTCTTATCTTAGTGCATTGTTTGGGCCTTCTATAACAACATTGAATAGATGCATAGGAATCCTGTTTTGCTTTTTATCTAAGCAAAAATTTCTAAAATTTCACAATTTTTGCTAGTATACATTAAATTAAGGGAGCTCCCTATTACTAAGTTACTAAATTTTTTTCATTAATGGG